AAACGAGAACAACAACAACAACAACAAACTGCTGGCTAATAGGATTCGACTCTGCTGCTATCGTGCCCCTAAATAAACCGGCTGCATTTTAGGTAGACGTGAAGGATTTTAAGCGTGCAATCCTGCCAACATTGCACAATGAAGCTGGATGTCAGGAAGCAGCCTCATCCCACTGAGATGCAGGGTTTGGAGAGCACGAGGGCCTTGCGTGGTTTCAAGCGCGGCTCTATCCGAGCACCTCCCCCCCCCCCCCCCTTTTTTTTTTTTTTTTTTTTTTTTTTTTACTGCTTTTATCTTCACAACCTCCCCAACAAGGTAGGGAAGAGCTACTGTCCCCACTATACGTATTAGGAGCTGAGGCACACTGATAAGTGACAGGGCCAAGGTCAAACAGGAGTCTGTGGCAGGGTAAGGAACTGAAAGTGGGTCTCCAAAGGTCCTGGCTCGCATGTTGACTCACAAGGCTAACTTCTGCTGGCTTTCTGGGACCTGCATACTTAACCACAATGCTGTCTATCCAACACCGCTCATCCTAGAGAACAGCTCCTGAGATTTATCCCGGTTGGGCCTAATGCTCCTCAACCGCTACTTCTGGTACCCGCTCTCCAAAGCTGTTGTAATGCGCATCAAAACAAGGCCAAAATGAATGCCGACATCCAACTCATCCTACATTCTGCTTACGCTTTAGATATAATGGTATTATGTCAAAAAATATCCACGGAAGGAAAAGCCCTTCAAGAAAAGCCAGTGGGATCACGCCCCGTTCCCCAAACTGCGAAACTTCAGCTTTAGGGTTCTCGCCTCAAATTATTCTGCCAGACTCAATCTGATCTGCTTTACCGCTCTAACGAATTCTGCAAATACGCCACGAACTTTAAGCTGCATCGTGTGCGTGTGCGCGCGCCTACACGTCCAAGCACGCGTCTGTTTTTACAGCGGGAGAAAAGAAAAAGCCTCTTATAAAATATGCAATTTCCAGATTTGCAAACAGCTACCAGATGTAAAAGAATTCATACATGATTCATGCGCCATGACAAGTGTGTAGACACCGAATCTGGAGGAAGACCATCTCCCTCTTGAGCGCAAGCTTAGTCAGATATGCTCTGCCGAACAAAGGTTTGTTTTCAATTATATTTCAGATTCTTCTAACAATAACTGTGTGGCGTCTGGCACCAACACATCCGAGCCTTTGAAGTGGTTCTCAACTTAAACAGGAAAAAAAGGGGGGGCTGGGAATCAATCAGCAATTTTAGTTTTAAGTCAGCCCTTCTCCCAGCAAAGAAAACATTAGCACAGCATTTTGGACTTTCCATCGCGACTTCTATACCTAAAGCAAATAAAAAAAACAAAACAAAACACATTCAGATTGGGAGGAAGATAGTCGGGGGCTCTGCTGGCTGGCTTTGCTTCGTCTCAGATCTTTTCACTATTTGAGCAAAATTAGTGACTATAAAATATGCTGGACTGACAGTACTGGGGAAAAAAAAAATATATATATATATTTACACACACACACACACACACACACACACACCTTCTACCCCCAGGGCAGATAGATCGATGGCACTGCTGCAGGATTCAACCCCAGCTTCCTAAGGTCACTTCTCAATAAGAAAAATGACTTATTTGTTCATTAACAAGTCTTCTTTGCTCCTTTGCTGTGAGACGCAGCGGTGTGGCTATTCCTGCTTTACGGAAAAGAAACAGGCACAGAGAGACAAAGTGCAAGACCCAAAAAGGGACATGGACATTGTCACTTTAAACATCTAACTTCCAGGTGCCCGGAGTCTGATCTGGCAGGCATTCACGGGAGCAGGTCTGCTGCACTGTAGATCCTGGGAGCTGCCTAGGACCGAGACGCTTCTGGACAGGAGCCAGGAGCAACACATTAGGTGCTTAGGGAATGGCGCTGGGCACCTACGGAGAGAAACGGGGGGGTGGCCGGCGCTGCATTTCAGGGCTCAGGTAGATTTTGGGTGCCTTAATGGTCGTTTGTGGACCTAACCCTAAGTGGTTTGGACAAGGCCACACAGGAAGGCAGTGGCAGAGTAGGAACCCAGGATTTTCCGAATTCCAGCCTAGCCCCCTCCCCAGCTCGCCATCCTTCTTCTTCCTCCCTTCTGCAAGCACGTTTTGTTTGCAGAGTTGTGGTTTCCCAGCATCGGAGCAGAACCACTTCTAGCATCAAAAGAATAAGAGCCCCCCCCCCCGCCCTGTTCCACAACAGGTCTGGGCGTTGGTTGAATTGGGCTAGGATTGCATTTCCTGTTTGATCACTTCAAATCCAAAAGATACACAGTCAAACGTCTTATCCGCCTTCCCTGTGCCACGTACAAGCCGTACCAGCTGGTTCGGTCGCGCCGGGCAGCTTTCGGGAAGCGTTTGGTGGCTCGAGACATCCTCAGAATGTCAAGAATTTGCTTGAGACGGCGAAAGCCGCTCTGTTTTACAGAGGCACGCTCAAATGTGGGCAAAATCTAGGCATTTCGCTTGCAGGCAGCAGAAAGCTTCAGCGCCCGGCTGAGAGCCAAACAAGGAAGTCGGGAGGTGAAAGAAGTTGGGGGCTTCTCGTCAGCGCAGTGGTTTCACAAGCATCGCCTGAACTAGATTTCCAACTATTTGAGTGGGTTTAATAAAAGAGATCCGATTTACCCAGAGAACCCCGTCTGCCCACGTCTTTGGACCAACACGGCTACAACCTGCACACCCAGAATATAATTTCACCTGCTTTGTGATGTGCCAGGGAAGCCTGCACGCGCCTGGAAAAACTGCAGGCTCGGGGCGCTGCCCTAAGCCAGACATTAATGCATAAAATGAACGTCTCCCTCGCTTTTTCAGAGTTGCGCTCTGACCAAGCTACCTCAAGCTCAGAAGGAGCCCGAAAGCTTGCAAAGAACTATTTCTCCAACTACTGAGTTGGTCTCATAAAAGATGTTGCGTCTACCCCACGAACCTCACCTGCCTTGAGCTCAGAAGAGCCCTCTCCTCCCAATGCCTCCAAACTCCTCAACCCTTTTGCAACAAAACATGTGGTCACGAACCTAACTGCAAGATCCCTCCTCGGTGCACCACGATGGGCAGGATTAAGGGCAGAGCACATCAGGGAAAACGTTTCCTTCCAAGTCTCCAGGACCCCCAATTTGGCTGTCACGATTCTGGGCTGAATAAAGGGCACCGCACTGAGCCAACACACTTCTGCAGCTAGGAGACACGGCTTCGGCACTCAGGTGTGTTGCACACCACGTCATGGGTTTCCTCTGTCCCATGCAAATGTTGACCTGGCTCATTCACCTCGACTTGCAAGTGAAGCCGTGCGGCTCCGAACAGGCAGGGGATCGCGTGAATGACAAAAAGGGGACGGAGTATTATACTGCAGCTCAACTTGAGCGAGGGTCTCCCCCCCACGCCCCACGGGACGGCCTTATTGCTTCGTTCTCGGCAGAACGAGCAGCAGCAAGGAGCCTTTTGGATCGCTCCTCCAAAACAAATGCTAATTCCAGGAGAGGCTATAACGTCCCTCCGTAGCAGCTGGACCAGCCTCTGCAACAACAGATCCTGCATCTGCAACCTCCAAACACCCTCTGCAGAAAGCTGGCGCGGAGGACTTCGGGACGGAGCAGGCCAGCGCATTTACAAAACCGTTTGGAGCTCTTTCCGAACCCACGCGAGAAACCCCCAGCCTGCAAAGCTTTTCCCGGCCTCGGGGAAACATTTCCTGGAAAGACTGCGCTTCTCTGGCTGTTCACAAACAGCGCAATTGTGCTCTGGAAGAGCGAGCCCGACTGGGAAGGAGTCGGGACGCTGCAGGCTCCAACAGCTAGGACAAAAGGGAAGGCAGCTGATGGAGACAGGCTCCTGATGCGCCAAACCCGACGGTTTAATAACCGGTGGGCAGAACCGTGCAGGAAACCGTGGAGGAAGTCACTGGAAGTTGTCGAACAGGGACGCTTCCACGCTGCGTTTCCAAACGTCCAGGGCTGAATTCCTCCTTTATTTTCCCTGTGCCTCTTACAAAGCAAGCGCTGGACTTGTGGCTTAATTAACAGGCAGCCTGAAAAAGTTCAGCTGCCATTGAGAAGCAAGGAAGGGGTGGGAAAAGAAAAAAGTGATTTTCTGAATTTACGACAAGTCGAAATGGCTTAATCAAGCACAGTCTGTTCCCCAGTAAGCCTCGTCTTGGCGCGAGGATCTCACACGGGGGTGCCACGGCCCTCGCCTTTGGGCTGGCTCCAGCGCTTGCAGCTGGAAGGGGAACAAAACAAGCGAACGATGGCAACTGGAGTCCCTCCGGGAGCCCTCAGCTAGTTGTCAACCTGATGACTCTATTAGGAGGTAAAGACCTGCAAGCAAGGAAAGGAAGAGTGAGGGGTAGCTTGGTAGGATGAGTGTTTTGTAGTAGGTGAAGATTAAAAATTCCCCAAAAGAGGGTTTAAAATGGTAGGGTGGTTTAGCAGGTGAAGATTTGGGATTTTTTTTTTTTTTTTAAAGCGTTAAAAATGGTACGGTGGGAACAAAGAGCTCAAATCCATTTGTTAGCATCTGTATGTAGTGCCCCCCCACTCAGGAAAAGACATGGCCTGGCTCGCGGTGTAAGGCCCCAGTCATGCACCGTGTTGTTGGGAGTCCTGGGGGGGTTTAAAAGAATCACAGAAAATGAGGGTTGAAGGGACCTCGGGAGGTCACATCTAGTCCAACCCCTGCTCCAAGCAGGACCAGCCCCAACTACATCATCCCAGCCAAGCCTTTGTCTACCCGGGTCTTCAAAACTTCCAAGGATGGGGAGTCCACCACCTCTCTGGGTAAACCATTCCAGTGTTTTACTACCAAAGCTTTTCCTACTATCCAACCTCAACTTCCCTTGCTGCAGCTGGAGCCCATTGCTCCTTGTCCTGTCACCTGCCCCCACTGAGACCAGTCCAGCTCCATCCTCTTTGCAGCCCCCCTGCAGGGAGCTGAAGGCTGCTATTTAATCCCCCTCGGTCTTCTCTTCTCCAGACTAAATCAGCCCAGTTCCCTCAGCCTCTCCTCACCAGTCATATCCCCCAGCCCCCAAGCCATTTTTGTTACCCTCCACTGGACTCTCTCCAGTGTGTCCACATCCTTTCTGCATTGGGGGGCCCACAACTGGACACAGGACTCCAGATGTGGCCTCTCCAGTGCTGAATAGAGAAGAATCACTGCCCTCAATCTGCTGGCAATGCTCCTACCAATGCAGCCCACGATGCTATTAGTTTTCTTGGCAACAAGGGCACATATTGGCTCATTTGCCCATTGGATTTGCCGTGAGAGTCGGAGAGAGCACTGGTGACCCAAGAGCTGTTACGGAGGCACAGGCCACCGCAGGGTCTCTCTGCATCTGCAGCAGGTCACCCAACATCCAAAGGACTTTCCCCCAGCTAGAAGCTGGGGCAGGTGTGGGGAGAAGCCCAGATGCGCTCTGATGGAAGAGGCTGATCCAAGGCTAGGACAGCACAGAGCGCTGCACATACCCTGGCAAACATCCTGGCTCCCTGAGGAGGTAAAAAGCCTCCTTTGCTGTTTTATGGATGGAGAACAGGAAGCCAAGGAGGCCCTGCTTCAGATCCCAGAGGGAGGCAATATTTGGATAAGGCTACAAATCCCACCATCGAAAGGAGATGCAGCAACGGTGCGAGTATGCACCAGATCCTCTTCTGCTGTCACTTTTCATTATTCATAATTTCTGGGAGCCCCGGGCAAGGATCACAACCCCAGCGTGGCACCAACTGCACGACCCAATCAATCCTTGCCCCAAAGACTTGCCTAAGCTGCAAGAAGGCAAAGCTAGCCCCATGTGCAATACTTGCTATTTGAAGACTACACGAGTCAACTGAGCAGATGAACAGGCCTCCCGTCACATTTGGCAGAAATGCCGTTCGAGCCGAAACGGGCACGAAAACGTGGCCCCCGAGAGAGGAGGCTAGAACGAAGTCAGAGCGGCTTGTGCAGGGCCTGCTCCGAGGCCCAGCAAAATGGATGGAAAGCCTCCCAGATGACTTCGCTGGGAGTCGAATCAAGCTGCGGAGAGATAAACAAACACAGGCTTTCTGCAAAGCTCCAGGAGTCGACGCTGGGCTGGTACGTGCCACGGCAGCCGCAAGGACGGCTTGTCAGTTGTCTTGTTAAACAAGACACAGACAAAGTGCTAACACTCGAGATACAAGGGCTGGGAAACTTGGAGAGAGAGAGATCTCCGCTGCAAAACAGCTCTGCACCCCTCCTCCCAAATGGGAGAAGGAGTTTGCCTCTCCCTGCTTGCACACGTGCTTGGAAAGTCTGCACAGGTTCACTCCAAGTCCCCGTAGCACTTCTTACCTAACCCAGCAAAGAGAGAGGGGAAAAAACCCCACAGGCATGCTTTCAGCACTGAGACTTGGAATCCAAAGCCAACTCGATCCAAAACAATAAAATAAAATTCAGCATCGTTCAATGGCCTTCGACTGTTCTGCGTAAAACAAACCCAACGTCTTGAGCCCGACTGCTGGAAAGTGGGAAGGCAGGATGGAAAGAGGGGGGAGGCAGGATGAGAGAGAATTAAAGATAAAAGGAGCCACGCAACTGGTCTCGCTGGTTCTCAAGTCAGAGACAGCCAAGAGATTTGTTTTTCTAAATTATTATTTAATGCTGTACGTGACTTCCAGGCAACAGATATAACCCAAGAGGAGATAAACATCCAAATACATATCACAGAAAGATTTGCAGGCTCTTATTTTGTTAAACTTTGCTTGTCATGAGAGAAGTACTGCATCCTTGCTTATTAGGCATCTAGACAGGACCGGCGCACAAAAGTCTTAGCTAAAATGAAATGCTAGGGCACACGTTGTTCCAAGATGAATCGCTGTATGTCTGCACACGTTTAAATCCTCCGAGACGGGAGAGCGGCATCCGCTTTGCTGAAAGAAATGAAAGACTAGCGCTGATCTGAATCTGCACCGTGGTTCAGAAGGGGACAAAGGTTGATCAACACTTCCACAGATAACCCTATCTTTGGGGACCAGGTGGGATAGCTGGGGAGGCACGCACATAGGAGGCGATGAAGAAACAAGCCTGCCCCGATCCCATCATGGAAGCAGAGTTCAGTGCCACGGCTCTGGACCACGGCCATGCAACTACTGCCATAAAACAGGTGCAGGAATAATAAAAAAGGTGCTTGGCAGAGAAGGCGGCAAAGAGGGCCATGGGAACTTTCCTGAAGCACGATACCACCCCATTTGTCTCCAGAAGCCATCTCCCTTCCCTTAGCAAATGACAGAGCAGTGAAGCCACCCTGGGGACTGAGCCTGCATGGGCTCACCTGGCTCCCAAGCACACGGGTGTGCATAAAGGGATGTGAAGGAACCGGGCAGCCACGTCCCATTGAACTGAGCCCGATGCAAATGCCTCGCTACCCTAGCCCTGCTCTTGGTGCGGAGGCCGAGCCAGGAAGCATTACACCTTGCCCTCCACCTCTGACACCTGTAACCTAATTGCTACGCCCTGGGCACGATTACCTGCACTCTCACAGCTCCTAACCCCTGAAGGGATCGCAGCCGGGCCAGGGAGATTCAAATGCAGCTGGGGAAAGCAAAGCAAACGTGGGCGCGTGGCACCCGTGTTACCGAGGGAAGCAGGGGCTAGCTTCGACTCAAGACAGGTTTTCCTCCATTTTCCCTAACTCAGCTCGCCGTGCACGCGCGCACAGAGGCAGCAATGTTTGGACAACTGGAACACATTTAAGGGGGGCGATTTTGCACGCAGCTTCCAGCCAGGCAGTTTCCTATGATGTCCATGTTATTACCCATGATCGAATTCACAGACCAGCAACCCTAATGCGTTAGGTCTTCTCCCACCTCTTCTCTGCTGCCGGGGTGGTACGCAAGCCCCGTTCGAAAGCAGTCAGTCCACGAGACCACCTCCGCCCCGCCATCACTCCTAAGCCCTCCATCACTTTTGGAGGCCGGGTCCATTAGACCAGAGAGAGCAACCCTGGGCCTCGTTTAAACACGAGTGCGACAGGCATCCTTCCTGCTCGATGGCCGGACGCAGCCCAAATAATGTTGCCTTCACTCTTACTGAATGCAAAAGTCCTTGGCCTTTGTGCCGACACTAATCTCGGAGGCTGTGCGCAGTTTCACTTGTGCCGGAGATCAAACTGCATTAGCTCAACTGTTTCAAATATGGTATAAACACGCTCCGATAGGCCAGGCACGACGTTGGAGAACGATTTTCTAGATGACAGATAATGCAGAAAAACCTTTGTTTATGTTGGCAGAAGACATCCTAGGACATGGGTTGTTGATTTTTTTTAAGCCAAAGCTATAAAACAGTCTAGTCTATGCTGGCCACGCTCAATAGGCTTCGAGCCACCAGCAACTGCCTTTTGAAACAGGTTCATTAATAGTTTGATTTCTACTGCTGATGGCAAAGTCTCTAGGGACACTGAGGACAAAGAGTGCCTATCCCAACGGGTTGGTATCTATGAGGGCTCCTGTAATAATATACAGGATCTGAACAGGCCTTGTTTGCAGTCAAAATGCTCCCCTAATTAGACCAGTTAATCTAAGCCCCTTTGAGCTCGGGAGGGACGCGGATCTGGACTTTGTGTTT